TTTGCTTTTGAGATAATTGAATTGAACTATTGTCCAGTATTCGTTTTGATCTGCGATAAAATAATTGAATAAATTCTTTTTTTTTGATTTTTGTACTATTATACAATAAGAGAAAATTGGAAGATGTCGCATACCAGCGAATATTTTCATAATAATAAAGTAAACAGAAATATTAATCATGAAAGAAAAAACGCTCATTTGGTCTCACGTGTCACCTGTTAGATAACTGCACTCCATTAAACTTTTACATTCAAATAAATTTCGTGAAATAATTTGGGCGGTATCGGTGACGCACCTGCACACCGGTAATGTCTCATCGACTTGGCAAAATGGTCCCATACCAATAGTGAAAACGATACTATCATTAGCTAAATTAGAAACTGTGGATTCTGCTAGAAGAAGGTGAGATTGAAACTACCAACTTGATAATCACTGATAAAAAATAATCTAAAAATGTTTTCTACCTAGATTGTATTAGTTTTTTTCAGCTATAAGCCAAAATTCTTTATCGTACTTTTTAACATATTTATATTATATTAAATTTTTGAGATTAAATGATTCTATTTTTTTAAAAAAATAGATAATTATTTTCCTAATCAAAAATAAAAAATGAAAGCCAAAAAGCATCGTATTTTTCAATGTTCATTAACAAAGTTCATTTGAGGTTTACTTATGCTTATAGCATCACTTGCTAAATTTTTTTAAAAATTCTTTAAAAATTACAATAATAATTATGGAATAGCTAAATTGAATTTTGGTTAAAAGCAAATAAATATTGTTTCTCAAGGTAATTTGAGTAACTTGGAAAAATTAAAAATGCTCTTTACCTTAGTTTTAATAAAATAATGTATACCTATATAATACAATAAAAAACAATCATATTTTTTGAAAAAAGATAAAATATTATTAGGTAATGATAAGATAATATCGATGTTTCTGGGTCTTCAAACATTTGATAGTCAAATATTCATCGAATATAAAATAAAAATCTTAAATCACATAGCGTCAGTATAGCAGAAGAAATTGCTATAATTTGTCTTTTTTGCAATACAATATAAAAAACCTGTTTTGCATAAATAGGTCGCGGAAATAATATCTCTTAATTTAATTTAACCCATAAATTATTCATATTTTCATTCCGAATTCCTTATACTTCTTTTTCAAATCATTGTGGCTAACTAAACCAATTAAGCATTCGTTGAAGCCGGCTGATTTGGCTTCTATTATAGATGCACCCAAGAATTTATCTTGTGAAAGAGGCAATTTCGCTTCTATTTACTTGTCTCTTAAGAAATTTACGAAAGCAAATTTGTTCTGCTAAATTTAGACAAAATACCTAAAGAATTTGCGGAATATAGATAAAACTGAGGATGAGTTTTGCTGTGTTGTTTAGCATAATTTTATGATAATACACGTGGTTAGCCGAATTGATGGTAAAATTTATATTCTAAAAAAAGACGCTTGCCATATGAAGATAAATACACTATTGAAACAGGCAATAACCAAAGTTTTCTGCTATTTTTACCTTTTCGAAGAGTAGTGCAAGAAAAGTTCACTAAAACACAAAGTGCCATGTGTCTGTTGACGAATTCAAAAATGTCGTCGTCGTCGTCGTCGTTAACATATTTGCGAATCGCATCATTTTTCTTCCTAACATTTTTTAAACTTCCACTTAAAAAAACTTTCTCGAATGGTGTGCTTGATGATCAACGAGAGAAATAGACAAATATTTTTGAACCGAACAGGAACAGCTTCATAAAAAAAACCGAAAAAAAAAGAAAGATATTTCATTTCGATGTGGGCAGCGAAATGAAATTTGTACGATTCGATGAATAGGTTTGCAGCTGTCGAACAAAGTTGTAAACCATTCGCGATTCGGATCTCGAGCCTATATACTGGTATGAACGTAATTATTGCTGAATCTGGCTGAAGCAAGGTGATCGTGCACTTTTTGAACCGATGGCTCTATCAAAACTGCAAGAATTATTTCTGTCGTTATTAAATTATTAAATTATATACCAATCAGTCGTCATATAGGCAATTTTGATTTTGCTTGGAAACTGTAAAATGCTGTTTCCCGAAATTCTCTGGTTTTATATTTTTAATCACTTAATTTAATTGAAATAATATATCTATATTGGTCGTTCTTTGTCAGTTACCAATATGTATCAGTTATCAGCTTGATTAAATAGTTCAGTAAAATTGGCACATTCTTTGCCAATAATTTTCTATTTTTCTAATAATCAGAATGATTACTGGTTTAGTGGCTTTTAATATTCTAAATTTTGGTAAACTTATAAACTTGCATAAAATATTTCAAAATGATATTTTCTTTTTTTTTATAATTGTCGAATTATCGAAAAAAGTAAATTTTGCTCTTAATTTATATGCACCGAAATTGTTGGGCTTTTGCCATTTGTTTCAGCGGCGCTTATTGCCTTTTGAAGAATTCCACTGGAAAATTATGTTTACAGGAATGAGAATTGTTGCACTTGTTGTTAACACTACGGTTGAGAAATTAACACGACAATGGAAAAAATTAGAAGATGAAAGCCATGGTTTTGGTCACCGGGAAACTAGAAGATGAAAGCTATGGTTTTGCTTAACGGATTCACCAAAACGTAATTTAGCAAAAATATAGTTTTGCTACATCCGTTAAGCTATATTCAATTTCTTCTAAATATACTCAAAATTTAGGAAATTAGGAAATCACGAAATATACGATTATGCGATAAATAAACGATTTATTACGTTCAAAAAGCCATGTGCTTGTCGGATTGTTTTCTTAGGCAAAAAATGCTACTGATTGATGTGAAATTGCCGAATCCTCGAAATTTTACACAACCAATTAACTAAACTAACTGCTTTAGTTTTATATATTCTATGGTACTGAATAGTGTGTATTGAGAAATTTAAAATTTTTTCAAATTCATTCACTAAACATTTTCAAATTTCTTTTTTCTGCTTGTTATTTTTAAATATAAAAAGTCTCTTCAAATTATTTTTTAAATATTTAAAATTATTTTTTGGATAATTTAAGGCAACAATCAAACTTTCAACTAAACAAAATTGTTTTTTTGACGATAAATATGAATAATATATTAAATAAATATTTTTGAGAAAACTGAATATAGGGGCTTTTCTTCCTTTAACAGCATTTCCAACCTGAATTGTCTCGCTCCGTTGGCTGGTGGCTTGATATCGTCTCATCATCTTATCCTAAGTCTTTTCTGAGAAGCACGACTCCTGCTAGACTCCTAGTCTCCATTCTGCAAAGTTGTTCCGGAAAACTGAAAGCAGTTTGCATGCTATGAGTTAGATTTGAGGTACTCATTTCATGTTCCAGGTTGAACATTTCGAATACTTTTTAAATGATTGTAGTGAATAGTGGAATAAGGAAAAAAATGAACTGGGCTTTGATCCCAAATATATACCAATTTTTTTCTAAATATATACCAAAAAAACAATTTATGTTTAGGATCGCTCCTCTGGCTTTTGCCGCTAGATATTTTGCCAGAAAGTTACCTAGTAATAGAAGTATAAGGTAGATTATCAGAACCACCCTGATTATTGTAAGGCAATGAAGCCCCAATATCATTGTTCCAAAATAAGAGCAATGACTCTTTGGTTTATTCTAATCCCATGTCCCATATATCGAAAATTGGTTATGCTTTTTAATAATCGTGGAAAAAAAGCAATGTTTTGCTAACTTATAATCTTGTCTTCTCTCGCTAAAATAAAATGGGCTAGAAGAATCTCAGTTAATCAAAACCTGCGATGATTTTGCACCAAAAATTAGCTAACCAACCAACCTTTATTATTCTCTCATTAATTTTTACATTAAAAGCATGGAACTATAGTTTGAATATTGTAAAATATTTATAAATTATAAAGTACTATTATAAAATGGCTTGGTAGGTTCTTGCTCAATTGGGAGCGCCAATGCTGAGGCTCGATTCCACGAAGGAGTAAACCTGTACAAAAATCTGGATGATGCTGGCGACTCACCTGTATTTCTATTGCCAAGGGATATATTTGTCCAATGCGACAAGCCATTGCGGGAGTTTAACGAATAATGTTGAGGGCTCTTAAAAAAAAAAAAAAAAACTTATAAAATATATAAATTAGCAAGATGTGAATGAACATCATCAATAAAAACTTTTTTTGTACCATGTGTTTTATTTATAAAAAGATTGCACTATTAGTTGATATGTACCATTGTTGAATGTCTGCTAAATGCGACATTGCTCTTCCGGTTTCTCCAAGGATGTTGTAATGGCATATTTTTTTGACAAAAGTCATCACTACCATAGCTTCGACTTCCTTACAAGAAATAAGCTTTTTCATTGAAATCGTGGAGCTGCGGGTTATTACTAAGTTACACTCGAGCAAAAAAGCCTCTTGCTCGTAATTTTGAGAATAATGGTCAATAAACTGACCTCTACAGACCCCTTAGGACCCTCAAAAGCTTACGTTAAAACTTAGGAATATATGCTTATATATTCTTATTTTATTGGGCTGGTAGCAAATAATAATTTATCATTTTTAATAATTATTTTATGCAATTTATTATATTCATTCAAAACTCTTAGGCTAAAAAATTTAATTTTAATATTTTTATTTTAAAATTTCAAAACAAATAACATTGCATTGGTGGACCGTGGATCTCTACGGTACCATCTAAGAGGTCCTTGAAAAACCACAGATTTAACTAAGCGCGTTAGGCATAAATTGGCGAAATTACCATGTAAATTCATGCAAATATGTAAAGGGTCTGATCTATATTTTGCAGTTTGCATCATCTCTGTGTAAATATCGGAACTTGGAAAAATATACGCAGGAAGAAACATTGTTCTATTGTTGGTCATAGCCATTGTCACCAGATATGACCCAAGTTATTGGGCTTTTGTTGATACTAATGCTAATAATTAAAAGTGAATTTCTGTTAAATTTAAGGACATTGCAGATCACTATTTTGATAAGTTTAATAGAAGCAGCCAATGTTTGGATTATTTGTTTTTTCGGCTAGTGTTGCAAAAAAGTGGCTTTCAAAGCCTAATGAAGAAAATCTGAAAAAAATGAGCCAAGTTGGGCATAAATGTTCACTGGAAAGAAACAAACCGAGATTAGTAGAAGATTCTGCCATTTCAGTAAGCATTTTTAATTTTTCTCCGAAATCGCAGCTTCCTTCATGACCGTTGAAATATCGACTCACCAGTGATGTGGAAATTTTGTAAAAATATCCAAATATTTCCTTAACACTTATAAATTGTTTCATGTCATTTTTATCCCTAAATCTTCATGTAAAAGACTTTTTTTTTTATGATTTCATCAAAATTGATTTGATGATTTAGTAAAATATAATATAATGGTTGCTATACCAAAAATGATAAAAATGATATGATAAGTGAGATATTTTAGCTTGAGTCTGTCATGGCTGAATTTCAATTATCGAATGAAACACTTCGACGAATGATGGCAAAAATGTCCAGCAGTATGGATAAAGGTTTAGAAGGAGGTAGCAAAATGAGCACAATGGCTATGCTTCCTTCCTTTGTGCCTGAACTGCCCAATGGAACGGGTAAAATATTTTTTTGCTTACGGAAAAAAGTTTTCTTTGGCAAAATTTGAATTTCCTAGTCTTAGAGGAAGGAAGATATTTGGCTATCGATTTGGGTGGCACTAATTTAAGAGTAATGGTCATGGATATAAAGCCAGGACAGGATCTCATCGTAGAACAATTCAATAGTCGAATACCAAATTGGGCAATGCATGGCACTGCTGAACAGGTATACTTGTTTTTTATATACTGAGATTATCTTTTGATTATTGCATATAAGTCAATGCTTACATTTTTTGAATTCTGTGGTACATTTTTATATTTCTCCTAAATTCAATAAATAATCTCGAAGGAAAAATTAAAAAAAAAAAGGCGAAGAAGACAGATATGCGCTAAAAAAATAATTATGCATAAGCATAAGCCCGACTTTAAATACCTTGGGTCCACTCTAATCCCAAATGGCCAGGCAAAGGATGAAATTGTAACCCGGATAACGACAAATATACTTTCCGGTTAATGAAACCTTTATGGAACCGTCGTGAAAAGTCGCAATAAAGACGAAAATCCGCGTCAATATAGCTATAATTCGCTCGATCTCGCTATATCACTGCGAAACATGGCTAATGAGAGTGGAAGATATTAAGAAGCTATCAGCCTTTGACCACTTATGTCTAAGATACATTTTACGAATCTGTTGAATGGATAAAATCGCACAGTATCCATCTTCGCCACTTGCATTAATAATGCTATCGCAGAGCGTCGCATTCGCTGGTTAGGACAATTTCTTCGTCGCCCACCACAGGAATTGATGCATATTTCGCTACTTGCCGAACCCTGTGATGGTTGGCATCAAAAGCGAGGAGGGCCAATCAAGACCTGGATTGAAACGATCAGGAAAGATTCTGAACGTATAGGCGGACCAGCATATATGGACTTAAACGATGGAAAAAGAAATGGCTTCTATAAATACTATCGATGACGTCGGACCGAGCAGCTTGGAGACGTCATACTCTTCTAACCAGCAGAGATAGCCTAACAAGTAATGGTGAGAGCTGTTAGAAGAAGCCAACAATGCACTTTTCCAAATGAATATTTTTGTATGTAATGAAGAAAAAGCTATTTGACTGCAGTAATTTAAGGTTTTAATTTTAGGTTGGCACCTTTCAGGAAATATTTTAGGAAGAGTATGATGACGACGTTTCAAAAGGAAAAATGTAAACAAAAATTAAATTTGAGAAGAAAGTTATGGAATTCTAAACAATGGAGACGCATCAGGAACAGCATAATAGTGGGGAAAAATTCTCTCAAAGTATACAGCGGGGGGGGGGGGGGGGGGGGGGGGGAAGTCGCAATCGTACCGTCTGAAATTGAGTATATAATCTCCTCGGATTCACGAGTGTCCTCTATTAATTCATTTTAAGCTGCACATATTTTCATCAATTCCATTGCAATTTTTTACTATTTTAAATAGACAATAATCGCCGATTTCTTCAGTTATTCGATTTTATCGTGAAATGCTTAGCAGATTTTCTTATCGAAAAAGATATCGACCAGGATAACCTTCCCCTTGGATTCACTTTTTCATATCCTTGTGATCAAAGAAGTTTGCGATCTGCTCGCCTCCTAAGGTCTTCATTTTAAAATTCATCTTCAATTCATCTTCATTTTAAAATTTTTTAATATTTCCATATTGTCTATAATTTTTAATAATAATTAATTAATGATAATTTTTTTTCCCATTTTTTTCTAAGATTTTCCAACTTAAAAACTAATCTAGTGATTATTTCTGCTTGTTCAAACTACCTGAAAATCGTCTAAATTTCATCCATCTAAAATAACTCCCTTGGAAGAAAAAAGGCAAAATTAAATAATTCTTAATTAATTAATTATTTTTTCGATCACATTGAATAAGTTATTTTCATATATTTAGTAATTTTATATATTGTGTAGATGGACGAAAGGATTTAATGTTAGTGGCGTTGAAGGTGAAGATATTGTCCTCTTACTTGAAGAAGCGATCAAGAGGCATGGCGTACGTTTTACAGTTTCACTTTAATTATTTTGTAGAAGAGAATTTTTTGTTCGCATAGTTGAATGATAAATAATGATACACAGTTAAATGATAAAGAATTGTTAAGAAATTTATTTAAGATAAAAAAGAGTGATCTTTTTTTGGCTTTGGTACTGTTTGAATGCCTTCAAAACTTTACGAACTTTTTATTTTTATTATTTTTATTTTTTTGCAACATTTTTAAATTGAATACAAAATTATGTATTTTATTCTTTTATTCTTATTGTTATTATTTTAAATCTTTTATCGCTTTTAATTCAAAAAATTTACTTTCATATTTAGAAAGTTATTTGATTCTTGAAATTATTTGATTGAAAATCTGGAAAATTTGAAAAGGTGGCCGCTTTTTGATTTTATGGATATTTCCTGAGGGAGGGCCTTGTGTTTGGTATTCATTTTTCCATTTTATTACCCATTTCCCACCTTTTAATCCAACAATCTTCCCTTACCTCCGCACTCTTCTTGGTAATGGTACCATCTTCTCCTTATCAAAAGAGGACTATTATTCTTATGTAAATGAATTGCTTCATTCGAACGAAATTAGCATTTTTGAATAGGATTCGGTTTCCTATTTTCCATATTATAATTTAGAAAATATTACAGGGCATTAAAGTTCAAATAGTTGCCTTAGTCAATGACGTAGTAGGTACGATAGTTGCTGCAGCTCATGAAGCTAAAGGTGAATGCCACGTCGGAGCCATTATAGGTATGCTTTTTTCCAGCATCATTTTCCAATAGCATAACGCAATAACTGCAAAACGACCGCTTATTTTCAAGGACAATTAATAGTTTGCATTTGAATTTTTAAAGCTCGATTAACTCGATAGATTATAGTTTTACAAATATTATTTAAAGTTAGTAAATTATAGGATAGAATGGCTCAGTGGGTTGTTGCTCAATTTGGAGCGTCGATGCTAAGGTTCTATTCCTCGCAGGAGTAAACCTGTTCAAAAATTCAGGTGATGCTGACCACTCACCTGTTCTTCTATCGCTAAGGGACTCCCTGGCATATTTGTCTAATGCGGCAAGCCAGCGGACCTAGTTTAACCAATGATGGTGAGGACTCTTGAAAAAAAAATTATACGATCATTTCATAGATTGAAGGGCCATTGATGTTTTACATAAGCTTAGGGATCAAATAAATTCAATAAATCTGCGGTGAAATTTTCACGCAAAAATAACCGAGTGTATCTAAAATGCACTTTCATGGTTATTATTTTTCATGATATTTTAGGAATAAATTTATGACATTTTTTCATTTAGCAACAGGAACGAATGCTTCTTATATTGAGGATGTTTCGAAGATAAAATACAGTCTTTCGAGGAGCATTGAGCCATATCCATATAAAAAAATGATAATTGATACCGAATGGAGTGGCTTTGGTGATAAGCATGACGCTGATTATATTCTTACTCAATACGATCTAATAATTGACAGTCGAGCTGAGCATCCAAATGAAAACACGTTCGTTTTCATTTTTTCTATTCCTTTTTCTAAGCTTTCTATTGTCACTATATTATTTATTAGTTATGCCTGCAGTCATACCACACCTCATTTGATAGATTAGTTCCAATTGCCTTTTAGTTTAGGCATTAATAAAGCAATTGTTTCAGGTTCGACAAAGTGGTTGCAGGTAAATGTATGGGCGAACTTGTTCGTATAGTGCTTGAGAAGCTTACACGTTGTGGAGTGCTCTTCAAGGGACAACAACCAGACGTGTTATTCACCCCCGACACTTTCCCAACTAAATATATTTCCGAAATTTTAAAGTCTGATTTATTATTTCATCTTAATATATAGTAATAAGGTCGATTATTCAATTATTTATTATTAATTAAAAATCCACTGCACTTTAATTCGGTACAATTTTACAACTCCAATATGAAAATCGGATGTTAATTAAATTCAAAATGTAAATTTTCTGATTCTATTAAGTTTTAACTATACATCATACATTTTATTGTAAATTTATTGTTTCATTGAGATAATTTCCTCAAAAGAAATTTTTCCACAAAATTTAAAAATTTAAAATTACGAAGCACTTTAAATTAATTAAATTAATTAAAAATGAGGCATCAATTTCTATCATTTCTTCTATAGAATAAAGAGTTTTTATCATATCAGCTTATCAGTTTTTAGTGATGAGGGTGGCTCGTACGCGAATACAATACAAATTATGGATGAACTATGTATTGAAGAATATACATTTAGTGATATGCTTTTACTACGAGAAGTTTGCATTGTTGTCTCACGTCGATCGGCGAATTTGGCAGCAGCAGGTTTGTTTCCTTTTGTTTTCTAAGTTCAAAGAATTTGCATAAATCAGAAAATTAGTGCTATTTTAATGTGTGAAAGGAAGGAATATATTGTGATTTTTGAGCATTTTTTTGAATCGCCGTGTTAAGTTCGTTTTTTGATTCAGCGATTGCTTGTCTGCTTAATCGAATTCGTAAACCAAACATGATTGTTGGCATTGATGGAAGTACGTATAAATATCATCCTCTTTACGATTTATGGGTTAAGGAAAAAATAAAGGAGCTCATTGACCCATCGCTAAAGGTTACCTATTCTCTCAAATCTGCTAATTTTCCTAAGTATTTCAATCGTAAATTTTGCATGAATCGATCTGTTTCATTATGGATAATGAACTATAAATTATGGATCATGAATTATGTCACTATAAAATAATGTTTTATGCTTAAAGGAAATATATCATCTATTTATATTCGACGTAAAGGCTCAGCTAAAGATGAACTTGCAGTTTAAAGTGATACAAACGGGTGATGGTAGCGGTAAAGGCGCTGCATTAATTGCCGCTATCATTTCACGATTGGCAAAGGAAAAGGAAGCAAAAGATACGGCGTTCATTATGTTAAATCAGAAATCTGAGGAAGAAAATGGCTTCAATGGTGAACCTATTCCAGCAAATTACATTCTTACTTGATGCTAATTTCCTTCGATGAACTAAATTTGTGCGATTTTTCTTCTATGCAAGAAAAAATTTGGAATATTTTCAAGGTTTAGTGACTTAAAGCTAGGTTTTAGATAGATAAGCTGCTTACCGATGATATAAGCTTAGATATCATCTTTTCTGTTTGTTTGTTGTTCCTCTGATTATTTTCAGGTTATTATAGATTTTCTTCGTTATAATAGGCTCGTGTTAAAAGCGAGTTAATTTTTTTTTGTGATATTATGCAATAAGAAATTTTTCGTTTTTTTAGCAGACAATTTTTTAATAATGCTTTTAAATTTTATTTAAAAATATTTTGCAGAAGCTTTAGTTGATAATTGATAAGCATTTTTGCAAGGCGTTTCATTGTTTCTACTGATAAGCTTTTTTAGAAAATTTTTAGTTCTCATGTTCGCCCGGTATCTTACTCCACGTTATTTGACCACTTCTAATAATCAATAGCGAACAAAATTTTTTATATTTATTGAATGTTTTATCATTCTTCATTGTTTATACTTTTGCAATCGATAGTCGTTATCATTCTTTGATCGTTTAATTATATTTTAAAATATTTAAAAAATTAACTTAACCTAAAGTCATTTTTAAGTAGTAGTGGTACCACATTTTTTTGAGTTTCAATGCCTTTTACTTTTAAAAGTTAGCATACTTATTGCAAAAGTAAAATACAATCGTAGTTATACTTGCGTCCTTCGATGAGATTTCTCCTTCAAAGTAGTCATTTTTAAGTGGTAGTAGCAGTCATTTAATCTTACGTGTATTGCGAACTCTCTTTTTCACGGCCTTTGAGTGGTCGAAGATTCTTAAAAATTATGAATTATGCAATAAAATTTTTAAAAAATGGAGTTATCTATTGGAATTTCTACATTATATTATAAGAATTAATTAATATCCTCCTACTAGTGGAACAAATTTATAGTGCAAGGCGATACAAGAGGCTAACCTGCATTTTTCCTCAAGTGGCTCTTTGACTAAGTGACAGTCAGAGGAAATGATAGATAAAATGATAAGTGCGATGATAAGATTGCTTATCTTTTTTAAAAAAGATTATCAAAAAAAAGAAAATTTTTTTTTGCATAAATTTATTTTTATACCCAACTTGAAACCAAATTTAACTTAGCCTAACGAATTAAGACGATTAAATTTTGAAAATCGTAAGTTAGTTCATTTCTTTTTTTAAACTGCGTGCAGTTCAGATATTTTCTGATTCGGCGCCGTTGTCAACAATGAAACTTGTTTAGCGAAAAAGTTTATAAATAATTAAAATGATTCAGATGACGCTTTGTGACGATTTTATTATAAATGTCGATGATATTTCGCATATCAATAATTATATAATTTTTATGATTAATTAGGCCAAGTTGCTCGTCGATTATCGTAAGGAATAAATTAACATAAATCTTGGCATTCAAAGGCCAAGCGAGGATCATTCAAAATGTGGACTGATGCTGGACCGGGAGACTGAGAGGGATTTCGAACGCATAAAAGGAAATTTTCTATTTTCTTTTTTTTTTTAAACCAAATTTCGGTCATCGAAAAATGAAATTATTTTTCTCTATTAATCTATTCGCAATAGTTATATGCTGCAGAAAAATTTAAGAATTTATTAAAAAAGTGGAAATCTCATTTTTCACCACTATTTGGACTGGTTTTAAGACATATTTCTCCTTAGTGAATATTTTTGTTTTCAATATTTTAATGTATTTATTTAATGTATTTATTCATTGGCCATCTTTGACGAACCTTAGCCAAAAGTAATAATTTAATTTTTTATTATTCCTATTTTTCTTATTCTCTTATTTTTCATTAAATAATATTATAATTAAATAGTAATAAATAATATTATAACAAAGAGGATCATAAAATTTTATATATTGTTTTTGCACTCAATTTTATGATTTACGCACGATTTGGATGTCTCTCGAGCTGATGCAGCGAATACCTTTGATTAACATGTGAGTCAGTTTAGCAGCGAAAATCGAGAAACCAGCGAAAAATGCCGGAAATTTCTCTCGAAAAAACAGGAATCCTTTTCTCCTATTACTTATTATTATTATATTTTCGGATACATTCATTTTTATTCCTTGTTTTCCGCGTAATAAAATTCTTTAATGAAAGAAAAGAATATTAAAAATATATTTTTTCTCAAAAATACGCAAAAACTTTACTCGTAATTTTACGCATTAATTTTAAAAATATGCAAAATGCGGTAAAAAAACGTCAATTAACGAGTTATCAATATTTCTTGCCCTTTTTCATTTTTTTAGTTTTTTAGAATGTTGTTCTTCGATAGAAACATATATAATTATTTATTACCTTAGAAGTAATAAATTGATAAAACTGATAATTCATTTTCTTTCTTCAATATTCTTTGATATTTCTCGCTAAATAAGTATTTTATAACTGATAAGGCATCTTGTGAGGTTAAGTGATACAGTGGCGCAATGTTTAATCTTAAGCAAGGGCATAAAAAGTCTAATTCCTTTCGAGGAAAAAAACTTGGACTCAAACACAAAAATGCCTAGCTGATTCGGTGAAAGCAAAGGCTTTTTGAAGGTCAATCACCACTCACCCAATTTAAGTTAACTTTAAGTTAAAATTCAATTTGTTTGTATTAATTTTTTGTTTTACCTTTTTTTATTTATGAATTTTTTATCAAAAATTAGCCAACATGCATGATCTATTATATAGGATTTTATCTAAATTCTTTCTGGCAAAGCTTATTCCACTGGTTGTTGATATGATGAGGCAGTTCAATCATTTCCAACAGAGAAAGGAGAACAGAGTGCCTTCCAACACAACTGGATTTTTTAACAATGTGATCTAAGCAAAAATCAACTATTCAACTATTCTAATACAATCTCACATGGGGTTATTAATCCACAAAATTCCATGTGATCCATGTATGAATTTCGAGCGGCCCAATATTCGGGTGTACAAAAATTTTACCTTTATTTTTTTTTTAATAGTCCTCACCGTTGCTAGTTAAACTAGCTCCTGCCACATTGTGCAATATGCCAGGAAGTCCCTTGGCGATAGAAGTACAAGTGAGTGGCCAGCATCACCCAGATTTTTGGATAGGTTTACTCCTGCGGGGAATCGATCCTCAGCACTGGCGCTCCCAATCGAGCAACAACCCACTGAGCCACTCTATATCTTTATTTTTACTAATCGCTTATTTAAATGTGGCTCTGAAAACTGGCAAATTATTCTTCGAAAATTAACCAATTTTTTCATAACGCAGCATTTATTTTGTCACAATTTTTTATGCATTCATGAGGTTTTATTCTTTAAAATGCAATAATTTATTTTTATTGTGTGATATGTAAAAATTTTGAGCTTTAATCGTTTTTTAAAATTTTTTTTGCCAATTGTCTTCCGTTTTGTTCTGTTTTTTTTTTTTTTTTAACGGGTCATTTACGTATAAAATAATTTCAATGGTGTTTTATTCGTTTATTTAACTTTAAACTTTATCCTTGCCTATCATTATCACTACCATTATCATTATTATAATTACTGATTTAACACATAATACTTCCTCTACTGTTATACTAAATGAAGCAAAGTCATGCACTTATATTAAATATTAAATATTAAACATACAATACAGAAGTCGTACTCCTACATCTTCGCACGAATAAGCCAGTAATTAAAAGCCGGATCCAGGAGATGCTGACGATCCACTCGTATTTCCTATTCCGACGCAAATCTCCAGCGATTTCAAAGGTCTCATTCTAATAGTTAGTTTTAGTAGAGCCAGAAATGTTGAGTACACTATAAGAATGAGAAAAAGAAAAGGTACGAAATATAAATGCAGCAGATCGGAAAGCCATAAATTTCACCGCCTCTCCTTTTTTGCTTTTCCATAAAACAGAATTTTTTCTGTCTAAATGATAATGATCGTCTATTGTTGCGTTTAGTATTTTAGTCAGCTGCCCGGCTATTCAGCTCGAATTATTGTTGTAAATTTTTTAAAAAAATGTAAACCTATCGATATTGCTGACAACTTCGACTATTCACAATACCATTTTCCTTCTGCTTTATTTATTATCTTTTTTTTTTTTTGAAACATGCTGATATCCTTAACAATTCAATAGAAATAGTTGCAAGGATGCTAATGGAACGACGAGAAGCGGTCAAATAAATTTATCATTTTTTCGATAATTTATTTATTTATAATCTAAGATGTGAGGATGAATTTCGTTAAGAAAGGCAATTTTTAGCTTTTTTTATTGTTTTTGATAACGGAATTATCAGTCGCATGAATCATTTTGTTGTTGCATGTTTTGCTTAACTAAGTTGTCCATAGCATTAATAAAGATGATTATAAAGTAAATTAAGGCAAATTTCGATGAAACAAGCTCGAAAGTCTGTTGAATTTTTAGAACAAACACATGACGCTTTGTTATTTGATGCAAATTTCATTCATTATACAATCTTTCCACGAAATATTATAAAATCGGCGCTTTTTGGCCACTAGTCAGTTAATAATATTTTCTTATTTCGACTGCTGCTCTACTCATTCTGGTTTGCTTTATAATATTTTTATGAATATATAAATGTATATAAAAATTTTTTGTCTGATTTTGGTTAGCATTTCTTTTTGAGCTGTCTCTACCGATTAGAAATAAATCTTTGCCAGGGGCTCGCCTAACCTAACGATAGAAATATAGGTGGGTCGTCAGCACCTCTCGAATAACTTTTTTATTCCTGTCAGATCCATGAATCCACGAAATCTTCAATGCATAATGCAAATCGCAGCAACCGCTCATATCACCCACCTTTTTACCTTTTTTATATATAATTTTTATAAAATTTTCTTCATTTCAAAATTTAAACTTAAATTCATTAGGAAAAATGGGTATTTTTTGGGTGATTTTGCACGATATTTTACCCAACGAGATTTGTAATTCTCATTTAAAAGTATGAAAAAAGGTGAAACTGTAGAGCAAAGTAAAATTAAATTGGTTAAAAATTTGGAATGAATACATTGCTCGAATTTTTTAATTTCTGAATCATATCGCAAGGGAAAAGGGAATATGTCAATTCATCACAATATGGTTTCCGCCACTTTCCAGTTAGAGTAATCCTGCCCTTAAAAAAAAAAGTAAAATACGGATAGTGCTGAGGACCACCTGTACTTCTATTCCCAAGTTGCCTTTTAATCATAATATCATTCTATTATCATATCATATCAGCTAACTGCAAATAGAATGAATGAATACATGTTATTTAAATAAATGTTATTTAATATAGTAATAAATACAATAAATCAAAATTATTTGCTTGCGCTATTTTTTCGCTGATTTTTTCCTCTGAATTTTTTATCATCTTAGTGGAGAATATCTTTAAACTACTGCTTTTTCTACAACACCCACCAGTTCTGATTTGGTTGCTTATTAGATTCTGATGATCTTTAGAGAATGACTTTAGAATAGAATAGAATTCAAATGAAGAGGAGTTCTCGGCATCGCCCACGGATTTAATCTTTATGCTTGAAGTGTTTGTTTAAGTTAGAGATGCGCAATTTTTTAGCTTCACTGGACCGCATTGAGTGAAAAGAAAATTGTCTTGTACATACCATTGAATATTATTAAATATATATATAATAAACACATATATAAATAATGAAAAAAAGATTGAAAACTTTACCATTTTAATATTTCTATTGTAAAATTAAAAGGAAAGGAGATAAAAAACTAATGGTATGATTAGCCTTATTTTTGCAAAGCTAATGCACCATTACCATTATCTGAGGGGAGTAATTCCAATTCTCAATGAGTAGTCAAGATGCTCGTCAGAAATTTGATCTGATTTACTTTTTATGAATAAAATATGATTGTGAAGCGCAAGAATGTCCTATTGGAACATAGGTCTTAAAAAAATTCAGGAAAAAGATATTTAATTTTCCCTCTGATTCCATTATTGGTAAAACGATGCGTTTTATGTTGGAGATTTACGACGAAGTGCACTGGCCTCCTAAACCGTGAATCTCTGATAAAACAGGTCATATTATTGCCACATTTCGAATATTTATTTAAAATGAATTTTTACCGCAATATTACAAAATCTGAGAACTTTGACATAGAACGAGAGGAGAAGATGATGCATGTAGCAGCAACGAATCGGAAACTGCTTTTGTTTATGACGATAATGGATTTTATCGGCTTATTGACTTAATCATTTAACTAAAAAGACTGATTAGTAAATTGTATAACTGGTACTTTTATGATTGTTCAGTTATTACTGCCAATTATATTGATCATCTAATTTGTTTATTTTACTCTGTTTTATTATGTTCAGTTATTAGCGCAACGATAAAACTAATGCTAAATCCTTCTGAATGATTAATGGTACTATTCGCTTAAATTTAACAATAAATTTAATAAAGTAAAATCGAACTTTAAGTTTATTTTCCAGTTTAATACCATTTTCATTTGGATCCCATTTGTGAATTAGTGACAAATTACCAGACTTCGACGATATTCGGCAAACCGACTTCTCCCTTTTTCCAGTTTATGAGTGGTCTGGTCTGCAAAGATTTTTAAACGTCCTTTCGGAAAATTTGAAAAATATCAACTTTTATTCAACGTTCTCATTATTAAGAAATTTTAATGCATCACATTGGTTATTTATTATAGTTCTTTCAATTTAAGTTTTTTCTGAGTGCACTAATAAAATTTGATGGGCCAGGATTGTTCGACGAAAGTACACTATTATTGGATTATCTGTCCAGATGGATTCAGCCGTACTTCTCTCTCTCGAACCTTTCTTTGCTTCTTTAGCGAAATGATTGTGAACCATAGGATATACGTCAAACGAGAAATGGTGAATGGTGATAGAAGAGAGACAATTTTAAGCACTAAAAAACTAATTCACCCGCTAATTCTTAATTTTATTTAATCAGCGATCGGTTATCATTCAAGAAAAAATTTCGAATCGCATAATCAGTTTCTTTTATAAGCGATTGCTTAACAATTATTTGTTATAACTGAACGAATAAAATTATTTTATTGGGGAAATACGAAGAGAGTTAGAAAACGATGAAAATTATAATAATAAAATGTGTTTGGCGAATGTCGAAATCGAACTAAGTAACCACGAGACGACGAAATTTCTTTTCGTTTTCGTTGACATTTTTTCATCGAATTGTTCGGAAAATTTACTTTTCAACTTTTTGCATTTCATATTTGCAAAATTAAAAATTATTTGTATATATGTGTATTTGCTTTTTGCTTATTTACTAATGCTTCAATAAGTGGCTAACGCTCATTTGATTATCTCCGCTGGTAGTTAATAAAATTTAGAAATTTTTGGATCACTTGGTTTGCAAGTGGCCAACATCACCCGAATTTGTCTTCCCTTGTCGGAGCCAAAGGAGCCAAATCTTGGTCGCCTCAGTGCAATAACCTGAGGTACTATCCATAATTTTTGCTCGTAAATCTTAATTTGTCAACAAATGTTCAAATTTGCAACAATGAAGAATTAAATTTGCAAAAAAAGATAATAAAATAATAAATAATAAAGTAAAATTTTATCGTGTTTCGGTTAGGCTTAGACCAAATATTAAGAGTTCGATTCATATCGATTCGCTAGAATAAAGCGAATGAACGCTAGCGAAGTCCGAGTGATGCTAGTCATCCACCTTCTAACCCTTTGTGGTCCTCCGGTGAAAAGCTATCGTAGCCATTGTTGTTAAGCAATTGCAGTGGAAGCTGTTCGAAGAAGAAAAAAATCGCTCTATTGGAATGAATTCATTCGTAAACTTGACAATATATTTGATAACTTCTGAGTATTATTTTGCTTCAGGCATAAGTGTAATGGCGATCGATTTACGCGTTTGACTTTATTGTGTTGCCTTTCACCACATTCAAGCTTTAAACATATATTGATTTCAAAATTAGTGAATAAATGTTTTTATTCGAATAAATTTATTTTTGCTAAGATTTAATTATCTTACAGGGCAATGAGTACAATTAAATCCTATAATCGTTTGCCGTAATTAACATTTGCTTAAAGGAATGAAATCCGAGTGATTATGGGGACCCATCTGTACCAGTGGGGATCCTTCTACCCCTTAACTAGTCCTCTGGCATAGCGTCTCTCAATCAGAGTCAGCCAAACAAATCAGATTACCGTAGATACCGTTCCTATATAGAACGAATCATCCACCGGCGATCTCCAACACTCGCCCTTTCCTTCTCTAAATCCTTATAAATTGTGAAAAAATATGAGAAATTGATTTTAGATTACTCAATGATTAATTGTAAATTTTTTTAATTTTAATCGAATAATAGGTTTTTGCAAAATTAAAAATGGAATTCGATTATTGCAACTACAACTCATTCGCGGACTCTCTTAAATTCCATAGGATCATATAAGATATTCGCCCGAAGATGCTTTTTTCAGAATAATTTGTCAAAAAATTGCATTCATCTAATTTTCCATGTAATTTTTTTTGGCGATTAGCAAATTTAAACAAAAAAAAGAAATAAATACATCGTTCGAAAAATCAAAAGCGTTTTTTTTTTTATACTGATTGGTTTATTTAAAGGCCTTAAATGAAATTAATTAGGCCATCGGCAAAATGTTTGGATTAATCGTTACGGCAAATGCGATACGAGAATGGTTTTCAAAGTCGAAGGGCGATGAAAAACAAGCGAAAAAAACGAATTATTTGCAAGCTCACACTTCACTTTCGGGACGGAAAAAATCGCGATTAATAGAGGATTCTACCATATCGGTGGGCATTTTAGGCATTTTTCACAATTACACGTATTGTATGACGTACGCACAATTACACGTATTGTATGACGTACGCAATCGTAAAAATATTTCATGAATAAAATTCTATGCCACTTTTTATAAAGAAATTTATCAGCTTGAATCAGTGATGGCTGAATTTCAACTATCAAATGATACACTTCGTCGAATGATGGCAAAAATGTCCGCGGATATGGATGCTGGATTAGCAGGAGGAATTGAGAAGAGCACGTTGGCTATGCTTCCATCTTTTGTACCCGAATTACCCAATGGAACTGGTAATGGTTTATAAAATTTTGATATTTCTTGTTAGGAAACTCATTCATCATTCGTTCAATTCATTTATTAAATAGTAAAGTGATAAGGATGATAAGATTATTGCGATAATCGGAGATGAGAAAAAAAACAAGTGATAAATCATTTGTGAGGAAAAAACTGCCCTTTCCATTAATCTGCTAATGACTTTATATATCTATAACTTAAATGAAAGGACATTAACCACTATGCGAATTCAAATGCCAGAAAATGGATCAAGCAAGCGTAACGAGTTCGATTCCTCTCCTTTGATAGGAATAAATCTATCATACAAAGTTTACGAGCCCACAAATTTTTACCCGTTCAAATTGTCTCATCGTTATAGAGTGGGTTTAACCAGAAATGTTAAAGGCTTTTATGAGAGAAATTGCATTTTAACTCACTGATTTAGATTATTATTTTTTGTATGAAAATTATGAAACTATAAATATGAAACAAAAGAAGATCCAAGCCAAAAATTTGAAACCATAGATTATTAAAAAATTAATTAAGAATTTATAATTTTTCATTTAATGCATTCAAATTTCGCATGCAACTAAAGGAATACTCCTCTTTTTTTAAAAAAATTTTGGCCATTTATATAGTTCCAATTTTCCAGAGGAAGGAAAATTTCTCGCTATGGATTTGGGTGGTACGAATCTGCGAGTAATGGTTATGGATATAAAACCCGGCCACGAACCTGTTACAGAACAATTCAATAGCAGGATTCCGAACTGGGCGATGCATGGCACTGGAGAACAGGTATCTCTTTGAAAATTTGCGTATATTTGAATATTTGTCATCTATCATCATTTTTAAATGTTGTTTTTAAGAAAATTCTTTCATCGCTTTGCCTTTTACATGGGTATTTTGACTAAGGAAGGGTTACACAAGTTTCAAAGGTTCTTCAAAGACCCTCTAAATTTTGCCAGGTTTCTAGATAAGCTCGTTGCCTCTTGTTAGTCCCTTTTCTGCAGAATATTTAATTCAATTTTTTTTCCTTTCCACTTGTATTTTCACCACCTTATTGAACGTTTCAATTATTATTTGCCTAGCTATTCGACTTCATTGTCAAGTGTCTAGCAGATTTTCTTATCGAGAGAGGCATCGATCAAAGTAATCTTCCACTCGGATTCACTTTTTCATATCCTTGTGATCAACGAAGTTTATGTTATGCTCGTCTAATTAGGTTATCTCATCAATATTAACAATTTTTTTCCTTCTTAGTACTTTTTGCAAATTTTCTAAATTTCGAAATTTTTGCTAATTTTTAAAGCGAATTAAGAATGAGTTATTTTGCAGATGGACGAAAGGATTTAATGTTAGCGGCGTACTGAACGAAGATGTTGTTGCATTACTCGAGAAGTCCATCGAAAAGCACGGTGTTTGTTTCATTTCCTTTTCAATATTTCCATTTAAATTTCCTAATTCTCATCAAAAAGTTAGTTTATATGTATGCTATGCAAATCTTAAAACTTTTAAATCGCTGTTTAAATACTTAAAACTCTTAAAACTCTTCAAAACGAAACCGTTCTTCCAAGAAGCAGCTTCGAAATAAAGTGATTTTAAAGAGTTTCGCTCATAATTTTCAAAATATAAATATTGTAGGGAATAAAAGTACGGGTTGTGGCTTTAATCAATGATACGGTTGGTACAATAGTTGCCGCTGCTTATGAAGCTGGAAGTGAATGCCACATTGGAGCCATAATAGGTATGGACTGACCGTTATGGCTTCTTTTTTAGGCCACTCTTGGTTGCTATATTAATTGCAAAATTAGAATTCGCTTAAAGAAGCAATTTTAAAGAAATTTGTGAAAGCAAAAAATTCTTAAGCTAATTCATTGGATTTTTGTTAGAACAATAATGCCCTTTTACAGGAACTGGAACCAACGCATCTTACATAGAAGACACTTCGAAAATAAAATACGGACTTTCGAAAAGTTTAACGCCTTACCCATATAAACAAATGATCATTGATATTGAATGGGGTGGCTTTGCTGATAATCACGAGGCTGATTATATCCTTACTCAATATGATCGGATCGTTGATAGTCGTGCTGAACATCCAAACGTAAATACGTTAGTTTTCATTCTTATCTATTCTCCTGGTAAGCGATTGTTGTTATTCGGAAAAAATTCGTATATCGAAATTAACCTTGTTCAGATTCGATAAACTAGTCGCTGGTAAATGTATGGGTGAACTTGTTCGTGTCGTGCTAGAAAAACTCGTACGTTGTGGAGTATTGTTCAAAGGGAAAGAATCCGATGTGTTATTCACTCCAGATACTTTCCCAACGAAATATATTTCTGAAATTTTAAAGTATGGCTCATTATTTACAATAATATACTTTATTCGACCAACATTATCCCACTCTATAGGGCAATTAAAGTTTAAGAACACTTGTTAGCAAAAATTCCTTAGTTTTACTTGCTTCTATTCTCGAGTGGTACTTGGATTTGACGAGGATTTCATTAAGTGAAGAAGGAAATGTCGAAGTAACAGATTTGCTCAGTTAAATGGTGCTTTTAGATCATAAATTAAAATTAATTAAGGCTGTACGAAAAATTTTAATTTCGCAGTCTTTTTCTTGGTTAATTCGCAAATCCTTTTGCTGACCTGTATTCATTGGCAATTAATATGAGTTAAAGTCGTTCTACCAGTTTCATGAAGTCGTAGATTAGTCGTAGATATGCTTCCTTTTAGTGCGGTTAGAAATTTTTCCAAGGTGCCATTTGGTGATGGAAGTACAGACGCACCACCGCTCGGATTTAGAAATTTTTGCAAGGCTTCATTTGATGATGGAAGTACAGGCGCACCACCGCTCGGATTTAGAAATTTTTCCAAGGTGCCATTTGGTGATGGAAGTAAGCGCAGATTTTTCGCTCGGATTTTTTAATTATAGTTTTATTCGCAAAGCTTTTTCTTTTCAGTACGATAATCTGAACCACTTAGCTATCTTGTTCCGTCTCCCATATTAGTTCAAAGCAATGACTGATTTTATTTCAGTGATGAAGGTGGGTCATATGCGAATACAAGACAAATTATGGATGAATTGGCCATTGACGAATATAGCTTTAGCGATATGCTTTTACTTCGAGAAGTTTGTTGTGTTGTGTCACGTCGATCTGCTAATTTGGCAGCTGCAGGTTTGCTTTATAGTAACGTTTCATTATCTGACAGTTATAAGTTAAAACCAATATAAATTTTAATCAGCCGAAGGTATTTGAGTTGGTTTTTTTGGATATAACTTTCGCTTGTGAATTTTGGATGCAAAGAAAGAAAATTCATTTGCCTTCCAGTAATTATACACGCATGAGTTGGTGAAATTTGAAATTTGTACCTTCGATGGGTCCAAACAGCAAATATTATAGATTCTGGTTCATTCTTTCATGGACTGATTTTTTTTTTGGCCTTATATATTAGCATACAAGTTTAGCCATTGCTTGCGCATTGAATCGTATTCGTAAACCAAATATGATTGTTGGTATTGATGGAAGCACTTATAAATATCACCCTTTCTTCGACTTATGGGTTACTGATAAAATAAAGGAACTCATCGATCCTTCGTTAAAGGTATGTTTTGAGAATACTTAGCATTTCTCTTCGATCTCACGTAATTTCGGAAGTTTTCAAAAAATTTCAAACTAATTCCATTTTACCTATCAGTTTAAATGAAATAATTTCAGTTCAAAGTAATACAAACTGGTGACGGAAGTGGAAAAGGTGCTGCATTAATCGCTGCTGTTATTTCACGCTTGGAAAAAGCGAAAAAAGCTTCTAATGATATTAAATTAAACCAGAAATTAGAAGAAAGTAATCAGAACGATGAAGTTACAGGATCTCATATTCGGTTAAATGTTTCTAATTTTCATGATAAAACTGGTTAGAAAATCATTTGCTAATCACGAATAGTGATTAATAAGTGATAAAAATTTTTACTCGCCATGTTTTTTCGTAACAAAAATATGTCACTGATAAAAAAAGCGACTAAAATAGAAGGATTAAATAAGTATTACACTTGAGGCAAATAATCTTTTATGTGGTTACAGAGGTGATTTGGCAAATTATTATTTGATTTTACAAATCTTTTCATACAGTCATGATTATAAAGTTTTATCTATTATCAATAGTTATATCTGATTAATACAATTTATTTGATTAATACAATTAACTCGTCTGCATAAGAATCGCTGAACCTAAAAAGTGGTTAATATTACTAACGGTAATGAATGAGATTCATTGGCTAGAACACCATTTGAGGAAGGTTGGATTTTTAGCACCATTTGGACCTCAGCAGAAATATTTTCTTAAAAACGAGAGATCCATGCTAACCATTTTCTGTAGAGCCTTTTTTTGAAACGAATTATGAAAACCACTATTCACTTCCTGGGTATTTCCTTTTCTTCCTTTTTATATTATCTATTTCAATTTGTAATATATCTATTTATAAAAAATTTATTATATAATGTAAAGAATTAATTTTTAATTTTTATTGCTATTTTTATATTTTATTTTTTTTATATGCTTATAAAATAATAATTTGCCTCGCTCTAAAAATTTTATTCGAAAATATTTTGTCTGTCAAAAATTGTTGCTGAAGAATATTTAGAAAAATGATAGGTAAATTTATGACAATTATGACAAAAATAGAGAATTATATTAGAATATTTCCACAAATAATGCAAATACTATATGCGCCTTTATTCTAATTTCTTATTCAGTATTGTCACTCTAACTTTTTTGTTAATTTTTTTTTTTTGATATATTAGGATAGAATATTTAGGTCCGTGAATTTTTGCTTTAATATAGCTGATTTTTCGTATTATCTACCTTAGTACCATTGTATTGCATATAAAATTTTTTGCAATATTAACTGTAACCTTTCTTTCAATAAATATAAAGAAAAATTCAGAAATAAAGGTTATAGTATTCTTTGCAAGAAAATGATCTGAAGCAATTTGAATTGAGAGAATTGGTGAATTTGGTGACTTTTTGGTTCGACCAATGTAACGACCAATATATTATAGAACAGCTAAATCTTGTGAAATAAAATTTCTCTGATATTGTTAAGCATATTGCATAATTTGGTCGAACTTTCTAAGTCATAAGATTCGAGATGTTGATTTATTGAATGGGTAAGATATTCTCATCTGTTGTTCTTCTCAGAGAACTCATGTTTTTCTTGTTTTTCACTTAAAATTAGTTTAAGTTATATGCAATAAATAAATATATATACGCTTCTAGGACAGCTCGATTAGTTGTTTTGGCTCTTTTTTAGTGCAACTTTCCGCATATCCTTCTTTTCCTTCCCAAGGTTTCTCGAAGTTCCATAAACCTCTAAGCCGTTTCTCCTAATTTTATCGGAGATTTTACGCTGATTGAGGTGTATTTTATGTCGAATTGAATCTGCAAAATTTTATTCTTCTTGAAAATCATTCGCTTTCAAAAAATATTTTTAATTATTAGTTTGCGATGATTGTTTATTTTATTTTATGAATTGTTAAAGAATAAATAAATTCTTCTATGAAGACGAAGAAATTCGCGAAAAATTTTGTATTAATGCATTAAATGTGAAACTAAAATATGTTTGCCTTTATGCTTCTTTGCAAATTTTTTTTGCTGTAGTTGAGTTTTGCTTTTTTTTGTTTTTTATATATTCAAAGTAAAATTTACTTGGAAAAATAAGTTTGTTACACTTTTATCGCAACGATCATTTGCTATAGCAAACACAGTTGAATAGCAAAAAAATTTCTCGGATTCATTGCATTTTCGCAAAATCAGTTCTTTCACTTTGGATTTGGATAAATTAATTGCCAACGAATTGGCGCATTATTCGATTCTATAAGGTACCACACGGTAGGCTAACACTGCTGATTGATTCATTTCGGTGCTTTTTAAAATCTAAATAATTTGGTTTTCTCCCGATTTTTTTCGAAGGTGTTTAATGGAGGTGTTAGTAAAGTTTTTATCTTATTTTTATAATGGTTCTATCCTTCTATCCTTCTACTGATCAAAAAACGTCATTAAAAAGCACCTACACTTCTATTTCCAAGTGATTTTCTAGTTTCATCTCGCATGCTACTAATAATGTTGAGCCAGGAAAATCTTAAAATAGACTTAGGCGTATATAGCTCTGCAAAATCAACTGTTACTCAATCAAATATGGATAGTGGATTCGTGACGAGAATTTTCACAAACTTCTGGAATTTTCTCTACATCTGCCAGCGCTTATTGGAAAAATATCTTCTTTGATTTATTTTAAGCATTCTATCACCTTCGTCTTTGTCAACTCTTATCGAACTTCGATAATCGTGACGCAATATAAAATTAGTTTAAGAATAAGTATCGGATAAGATTCATCTTTATCAAAATGCATCTTCCTCACAAAACTTTCATCTTTTTGTCGATCTGCTAATCAGTTATCCTTTTTTCTGCTATTTGATACCATTTGGTGGGATAATGAGGAAGCCGAATGCCAGGCTTTTGCTTGAAATTCTCAGCTAATCGCTTGTCAAGTTTCATTATAAAAGAAAAACGCTTCTTAGTTCATTATTAAAAGCATCTTGAAATCTCGTAGATTTATTGATGCCCATTTTGAATATTCTCGCATTATAATGCAAATATTGGTTTTAATTTATTACTAAATTTTTATGCGTAATTAAAATTATTATGGAATTCCTATAGCCTTATTTCTTTAGCGAAAAATATATTTTCCGATATTTCATAGATTTAGGCACTTTTTTTTTCGAAAAACGCTCACCATTGCTGGTTAGGCTTATTCGGCTGGCGGATTATCGGGCCGGAAAATTTTTCTCACTCAATGGAAATACAGGTAGCTTGCCAGTATTGGCTGTGTATTTAAGAGTTTACTTCTGCCAGAGATGGAACCAATGTTGGTGCACCAAATTGAACAACAACAAGCTTACTGGAGCATTCTGCTCTGTTTTGTTTAAGACATTGGGCGATATTTCCGTCTGAAGTATGCCGTGTCCCAGCCATTCTCGCTTTGGCATAATGGTTTTTAAATATTTACTAAAAATATTTATCATATATACATATATATATTTCTTATAATTTTTATTTTTCTTTCTTCAAATCCTAGTTTGTCTTCATAAAATCTATTTATTTAAAGCTGTTTTATTATTTCACGAAAAATTGTTTTATACCTGAATCGCTGCAATCTTGGCTGATAAGCGGGGCAACGCCATCTCGTTCAACTAGCAAAACATACGCTATGTTGGCTTACTAGTGGGATAAAACTATTCCAGAGAACCAATAGGATAAAGCTATTTTAATTAATTAGAACGACAACTATGTTACGGAAAATTTTATTCATTAGAATCGCTGTTGCTCGCTATTTCACAGAAGTAAGAAAAGAAAGATGATGAAAGCCGATTAGAAGAAATTTCAATGAAGGAATGGCGACTGCTTATAAATTGAGATAGCAAATTTTCGCTTCTATTTTGGCTTCTCATCGCTTATCTCTGTTTATTCGCTGATTAACATGAAATTGTGGATATTCTATGGATAGAAATTTCCTTTCCAAATTTTATTACCATCATTAATTTTCTCTCATTTTTCACCTATGAAAAATTTTTTTTTGAATTTTTGTATTTTTATTGCCAATATTCAATTATGCTATTGTATTTTATCTATTAAATAAAAAATTCGCTGCCGGAGGCAATCAACTAAGGGTAGAAGCAAAAGTAAGCACACATATTACAGAACTCATATCTGATGTTTTTTTTGAGAGTCTTCACCATTACTGGTTAAACTCGCTGCAATGGCTTGTCGCATTGGACAAATATACCAGAGAGTCCCTTGGCGATAGAAATACAGGTGAGTCGCCAACATCACTCGGATTTCCGTACAGGTTTACTCCTGCGCGGAATCGAACCTCACCGTTGGCGCTCTCAGTCGAGCAACAACCCATTGAGCCATTTAATCCCCTATATCTGATGTTAGATCCATAAGATTCACAAATAAACCATTAGTTTTCCATGAAGAAATGGAAAAAAAAACAAGAATTAGTCTATTTCTATTATTTCTCTTAGGTTGGTTGATCTAAAATCACAGTTGTTCATTTCAAAAAAAATTGAGGGGCATTTTCGTCAATAAAATTAAAATAAAACGATTTAATGTATAATTGTCTTTTAATGTAGAATTGTGACAGTGTTTAGATCCTTTATCTTTTGTCCCTATCCACAAGTGACTCTCTGGCTATAGGCTTTCATTCTAATAGTCAATAAAAGGCAGCCAAATCAGGAATGGTACCCCATACGCACAGGTGACTTGCAGGTAGCTTTACATACGGCTTAAATGACAAGTATAAATATATAATAATTTAAAGCATATTCGTTTTCCCATGAAAAAAAGCTTATTCAAGATATTTAAATAATTAAATATAATTTTCGATAATTTAAATATGCCTTTTTCTTTTTTTTCCTCAAATCATCAATAATCGATTTGGAAAAAAAAATTTGAACGAAGAAGGTTCGATATTAAATAACTTAAAGATTATTCCAATTTCTAAACGTGAAAAATGGGGATAGGATAGCCGAATGAGCGACGATTCGGGTTGTCACTTATGAAAAATAGGGATAGGATAGCCGAATGAGCGACGATTCGGGTTGTCACTTATGAAAAATAGGGATAGGGTAGCCGAGTGAGCAACGATTCGGGTTGTCACTTATGAAAAATAGGGATAGGGTAGCCGAGTGAGCGACGATTCGGGTTGTCGCTTATGAAAAATAGGGATAGGGTAGCCGAGTGAGCGACGATTCGGGTTGTCGTTTAATCGCTAACACTTATTTTTTTCGCAAAATAAGAGAATAAGAATGATTAAATAAAATGCTAATGAACTTATGTGAATGTAAATTGGGAAAAT